CATGAGCGAAATTGAAGTGGGTCGCTAGTACATATAATACTTAAATTTGATATATTCTGCCTTCCTACATTTTTAATAGATACATTGTTTCAGTGAAAAGTTCACATGAGTAACTCGTTGTTAGCCTTGATAACAAAATGTATCTATAGATATGAGTACAATATAACAATGAAGCCGAATTTGTATGTTTGTGATTTCATCATTTAATATTTGAGAATTTGTTATCATTTTCGACTCGCTTCATATGAAAACTGATTGACGGATTTCCAATATGGTCTTTACATTGTACCTATACCTTTTGTCTCACTTAAATCGACGCTATGTTTTATTTTAATCAGCATGCAATTTTATGAGACAAAAAAGAAGAAATATTTCATGGTTTTGAATCAAATAAAAATATACCTACACGAGAGCAAAACTCCATATCAACTTCTTTACGATACATTAAGGTATACTCTCCGTCCACTTTTATAAAATAATCCCATAGAGAAACAATATAAGGAATTAATTTAAGTACAAAAACTTTATACACATATACACAAGAACAATTTACCCAGCATTCTATATTAATACATGTTGAAACTTAATTTTAAAATATAATTTTATAACCAAACTAGCTACTTACCCTCGCTCCGCTCGGGTTCGTCTTAACGTCTTAACTTAAGTTACGTTTTAACGTCTAATATAGATTTCTCAGAGATAACATATTTTCTCGCAATAAAAAGTACCCTATATCTTGACCCGGATAACCAGCTACCACCATACCAAATTTCATCAAAATCTTTCCAATGGTTTTCTCGTGATGCGTTCCCAGACTGAGAGACATTATTTTATAGTTTCGGCCTCTGTTTCAATAATAATGATTATTTCAATAAGATTTTTCAAAAAATATTTAGTGTACAGATTCGACTCGCTTATAATATATATATATATATATATATATATATATATATATATATATATATTAAATATTAAATAAGAATAGATTCATCGTTATACGACTGTTTGTACAACGTGGTATAACGATGAATCTATTCATACGACGATCAGATTAATAAAATAATAAATATGCTGTTACGTTTCATTCTCACTAATTGATATGCGATCTATTTATAAAATAAGCAATTTTAAGCGTAGAGAATCGCAACAGAAGCCGCAGACAAGAACTAGTGTTAGATAAACTCAAACTTAAGCGAACCTCGACTCTAACTAGAACTAGATCATATAGACTTTCCAGATTTGTTTACATACATTATTGGATAGTTCATAAGTTACGTACAGTAGAAGCTTATAAAAGTATGCTAAAAATAAACACGTAAATAAATAACGATTTGTCTATATTTAATAGAAAATATTTTCTACAAGACAAGAATTTATAATTGAAATAGGCACTACATCAAAAAGTCTTTGTGTGAGATAGACCTTTATTGAAATAGAAACGTCTGCCAATCTGACAAACTGTGGGCGAATGAATACGCCAAGCGAGAACAATGACGACGACGAGTGCCTCGAACTGTAACGCTAGTTACAAGGTAAACTTTATGCTCAAAATTCATCTAATAAAACAGTGCTCACTAGTGAAAGGACGTTCGCTATGGAAACAGAGTAAAGTGTGTTCAAAACTTGAATTTGGTACATACTTATTAAGGTTTTAACAAGACAGAATCCAACTCCCTTTGGTTAACTGCTAAGGTAAAGACATCCAGAAGAGTACTGATAGAAATTTCAGTCTATATAAAGAGTTTTCCTGCAGTAAAAAATATCCTATTGATCCGGATAACCAGCTATCATCATACCAAATTTCATCAAAATCTGTCCAGTGGTTTTCGCAGGCAGACAAAAATGCTAAAAACTTTAGATTTGGCCTCTGTATCAATAATAAAAACTATATCAATATTTTCCAAAAACTTTTAGAATAGAACTCAGTTAGAATTTTATTATATGTAAATGTTAACATAACAACAGTTGTAACAATAATCAACGAAAATAATAACGCCAATAAATAACTACATTTATTTTCCAACTACACAAATACAAATTGAACAACCTATTTCTATTTATTAATGGTACTTCTATAATTTAATAAAACATGCCTTTTAAATACAACATTCATGTTTAATGTTTAAATATTTTTTACAGCCTCGCTTCGCTCGGCTTCATCCCTAGGTAGCTAGTCGATCTCTTGCTCTGTGAAAAACAAAAACAAATCTGTTCCACGGAAACCTTACATTTTTTCGGGAAAAAAAGTAACCTATGTGCTAATCCAGACTATAATCTATCTCTGTGCCGAATTTCATCCAGATCCGTTCAGGCATGATTGAGTAACAAATATCCATCCATTCAAACTTTCGCATTTATAATATTTATAGGATGATCAAACAATACAAACTAAAACATAACAAATAACTAAGCAGAAAGCGCTAGTTTTTATTTGAAATGATAAATGAAACACGTACGCCATATCATATAAACCCACAAAAAGATTGAAAAGTATAAAATATAACCGTATTATTTGATCGTGCTATATATCATGAGAATGGGACGGATCGAAAAAACAAAGTCCGCTCAAATATCCAATGGAAAATCAATCCATCAAACTCAATAAAAAATGTTGGGGAAAGTTAATATCGCTTTATGGCTTCGAACGGATTTGGCGTATAGTTCTTTGATAGAATTCTGTGACATGTCTTCTTCCTATTCTTATAAAACACAAGTTTGGCTCTTGACTGAATGCAATATACATCAGTTTTTAAGTCTTAAAAAAAATCTTTTAGTACTGTAAAAAAAAAGTTTTTCATTCAATTTTTCTTTTACAATTTACCATACCATACCATTTGTACTTTACTGGAAAATTTTAAAGTTTTAGTGGTTTTAATTTTTTTCGCTATTAGAAATTGTTATAAATGTAAGTAATCTACAACTGCTAATGACTATGTAACTAACTAGCTTCTAATATTTGATTTAATTATATATTATTTATTTGCTTATTTTTTTATATATGGGATATTTCAGTACTAAACTGCTTCGGTGGTCTACTGGCTAGCATGTACGGCTGCAGATCCGAAGGTTTTGGGTTCATGCTCCGGATCGGGCCAAGTTTAATTTGTAAGTTTTTCTGTTAAGATCTTCTGGTAGTAGCCCGGAGTTGGGAAGTTAGCGGTTTTTCGCCCCCGTGCCTCACCGGTCATGTCGAAGTATCGCCCCATCGGACTTTGAGAGTAAAAGGAAGAGAATGCACTTGTGTCTGCGCGTACATGCACTGCACATAGGTAACTGCTATCTGCGCATCTGGCTAGTCTCAGTGAGATTGGCCGCCGTGGCCGGAATCGATCAGGAGGGCATTATTATTATTTCACTACGAGACAAAGATAGAACAGTGATTTCATTCAGTGATCAATCTACATTTTCTATCCGTAGTATAAAAGTACGTATTTGATAAAGTTTTTATTGAATTTTAACCAGACCTTAAACTTGAGTATCCATATTAATAATGTCGCAACAAAGCATTTTATAGGATCTTTATAGGAATTACACCATTGCTTAATCGTTATTTAGACGGACTGAGGGACGGACAGACAGACAGAAAGACAAAAATTCCAAAAATTATAGATTCGGCCTCTGTATCGATAATAATGTCTATTTCAATAAGATTTTCCAAAAAATATTGAATTCGACTCAGAATTTTATTATATGTATAGATATTTGATATTATTAAAAAGACAAATTAGCCCATTTTAGGCGTCGATTTGGCCGCCTTGAATTTTTATTAAAACTTTTAATAAATAAAAAATTGGTACATACAACATTGTGTTGTGAAAAATCCCAAAGCGGACTTCAAAAATATCTCATTAGGTGTCCCCTGTAAATGAAAACTCCTGTTTGGTTATTTCTTACTTTGTGTCAGTTTACATTTTTATTTCAAATTTTAATAAAAGATATAATAAAGCTATTTTAATTATATCACCAAAACAATTTAAGTTATTTTGAAGCCAATTATTATGACCAAAAGAAAATATAAAAAGTGCCTACCTATCACAACGCCTAAAACATAAACTCTATGATATCGAATTATTGTAATGTAATGGAAAATACATACACTTAATTGCAAAGTTTCAAATCAAAAATAACAAATTACTCATACAAGTAGGTTAAAAATGACTTACATTGGTTTACATTCTTAAAATTTCAAGGATTTTCCAGATTTTTTTCATACATACTTTTAGGAGACCACCTTTTATGAAATCTAATTCAATTATGTGCGGTGTGCCCACTAGCCAGGTCGGTTATTAGAGAAGCAGTCTTCGAGAAATTGGTGAACGACACAAACAAAAACTCGCATTTAACAGAATACCTCATTGTTTTTAAGGGCGCACCGAGGCAATTACGAAATAATTGCGTTCGTTTGATCCCTTGCTGTATTGTTACTACTAAAACTATAATTATGCAATTAATATGTAGGATATTTGAGGATTTATTCTATAAATCGTACACTTTAGAAACACGATTACTTGTAATTTTCTTCTTAAAAAAAAATTCAAAATGATCTCAACAAAACAAAATAAACCCTTAGTGCCGCGTAAATAATTCAAGGAAGTTCATTAGTTTTTTTAATTACAACAAAACTATACATTTTCTATAACGTATGCACATTACATTTTCAAAATGTGTATTTGTTTTAATAATACGAAGGAAATACCAAAATTCGCACGGGTTTCGTTCATCCTAGCCCTCTCCCCCCCCCCTGCCCGCTGTCGGCCTACTAAAATAAAAAGCTCGGTGCCCCCTTAATGTCAGTCAAAAAAGTTTGATGGGAACTAATCATTTTGTGAATGAAATATTTCTGGGAAACAAATATGTTAAAACAGCTTTGTTTATAAGGTTTCTGGACGAAAGCGTAAACTAAATTGTCGAATGTCAAATAAAAATCTCAAACGTCAGTTTTGTCAATTGTCAAAAAATCAGCTGTTTTTCAAAACAAATCTGAATATAATAAAATATTTATGCGCTATTTACTTAAATTAGGTAATTTTTTACACGAAATAATTTAATTTTAATTAATGTAATTTCAATTGTATATTTGTATATACTTTAGGTAATACTCTCTCAAGAACAATGAGTACTTCAGGGGTTATCGCAAACTCTATAAAAAACAAGTTGCAAGCTGCTTTACAAACTAAGCATCTAGAAATCATAAATGAATCGTATATGCACAATGTTCCCAAAGGTGCAGAGACGCATTTCAAAGTCGTTGTGGTATCCGATCAGTTTGACGGCTTAGCATTAATAAAGGTAAAAATCTATTGAAAATCACCTTTAATATAGTATATTATTCAACTTTAATATAGCACATTTAATTGATTAATATTGGTATTAAATTTTTAACCTGTATATGTATCAAAGAAACTTTATATTTACAAAGTTATGAAAATCAGAAATTGTTATGTACCCTTTACTGACATATTACAAAAGCCAGTTTATGTAAATTTAAACTAAGAACAATTTGACTCAAGCAAAGAAAACTATTTCAACTATAGGTACTAATATATAGTAACTTTGTCACAATTTTAAATTATAATAATTTGATGCTATAATTTCAGAGGCATCGTCTAGTGAATGATATATTGAAAGAGGAATTACAAAATGGTGTGCATGCGCTGTCTATAGTTGCTAAGACACCGCAACAGTGGGAGGCCAGTGATAAAGTTGTAGAAAGTAGTCCCAATTGTAAGGGTGGGTTTGGTAAATAGAAAATTCAACATAGAACATTTCATTTTAGTAAAAATAACAAAATAAAGGCATCGTAACATATTTATAATTTTATAATATTAAGTAATAAAAAGAATAACGTAAGTTTTTGAAAATAGATTTTTTATTGGTATTGATAACAACCACTTTCATAGAATAATACTTTCTTTATTTAAAACACTTTCATAGCTAATAAGGTACAATTTATGTATGTGACTAGCAATCTATACTACAACATTCCGAAATGTTTAATAATTTAATATTATATTTGCTTTTGATTCGTCACAGTCAAGTGTCAACTTAATGCTTTATGATAAAAACAACATAAGGCTATATCCCAGACACCTGTCTCCATTATTTTCCCTTTCTTCAGATAGCTTTCTAACATTACTTTTTCTTAGATCCTTTAATTATACTAAATCTTTTATTTTGACTTTTGACATAGTTTTATCCATAGTAGGATGTTTAAATAGGCCAAAGTAGGGGCCAACCTCATGATAGGGAATGAGAGGTAATGGATCTTACTAGAAAACATGCATTTACTTCTATTAGATTATTTTAATTTTAGATCAACAATCCCTATTGAAAGAAACCAATAAATAAATATTTATTGGTTTCTCTGTGACTTTTGTCGCTTTTGATGAGATCCTTGGAGTTCTTAAATACTGATAATCATGTGGAGGATTAATTAAATAACAACTACATACATATATATAATTTAAAAAAAACAAAATTGTAGTCATATTTTATTGAATATATCAATTATCTTACAATCAACATTTTAAACTTATCTTTTTTACACAAGAGTAAAACTTCAGATATTCTATTAATATTTTGTTTTATATAACAATTTTCATTTTTTTGTCAAACTTTACAGAGATATAGGTTTTTATGTAAAAAAATTCTGTACATATTTTAAAAATCATAAATTCAAATTTAACATAAATGGCCTAACATATATGTTGAATTGATATAAAAATTATTAGCATGAAAATGAATTTTCTATAGATTTTGGATTTAAACAATAAACATTGGATTTTTTATTTATATTTCTTTATTAACTTAAGGCCACTTTTACACAGATAATTTTCATTTTATATTATATTACATTTCTATGTAACAGTTATAATACTATGTATGCATGTATTCAGCCCTTTTTAACGTCCCACTGCTGGGCACGGGCCTCCCTTCAGTACGAGGGGAAACAGGCCATAGTCCACGCTGGCCAAGTGTGGGTTGGTGGACTTCACATGTCTTTTGAAAACTTGCTAGGTTCTCTCAGACATGCAGGTTTCCTCACGATGTTTTCCTTCACCATTAAGACAAGTGGTAATCATATTGGAAATGATTTGCACTTGAAAATATTAGAGGTGCAAGACCCGGGATTTGTCACTCGGTTTCCTAAGCGAGCGCGTTACCACTGGGCTACCACTGCCTTATTAATACTATGTATATTCAGACAATTAATAAAGAAATTATTGACTTCAATGAAATTAGGTATAAAAAACCATGGCATTTAAAAAAACACATCCAAGATAGAACCTTTGCCTCAGCATTGCCTGCCACAGCAATATTTTTGACGAATAATAAAATAAAATATGGATACATTAAGAAGATCTATAACAATCACAACATTTTCTCTTACGTAAGAATTGTACATTTCTTAAATACATCAGACAGTTAGTGCAAAGATGAAAAAACCTGTTAATAATATCATTAAAAATGTACGCATTATCCTGTGACCATCTTTGAGCTATTCCCTATGGGTTACTTAGAGGCTTAACAGTACAAAATATGCCATCGAGTTGAGACCTCACATTTTTTCGCTAGATCTCTTAATTAGAAGCCTATATATAAAATTTGAGACTGCAGAAACAGATATTTTTGTCAAAAAAAAAAAATAAGTTTCAACTTTTTATGTACCTAATTTTACAACCATTTTATTTCTTAAATATGGTCCAATGTAACCTAAGATGGATTTTTAAGGTGAGAAATTTTTTGGTCCAACTTACTGTACATACCATACTCACTTAATTTTTTATTTTTAGCTGATAATAAGGAATATGCGTGTGATTTAAATAAAGGTGAAATATATATTTGTATTATAATCTTTATTGTTTTTGTATTAAGCCTATGTTAATATTTTTTAATGTAATTTCTTTTTGATTAAGAAAATAGATAAAGTGCAAATACAGCAAATATAGGTGGAAAATTCAAAGTAGTTGAAACCCACGCCTCCAGTGAGACCAAATATGACGTCAAAGTATTATCATAACAAAGCGATTAGCGATTTTGTCGCTACAAACTAGTCGTAATTTTTCTATATATCCTTTTATATTATATATATAAAAATTACGACGTTTGAAGTATTCGTATCCATATGAAATTTATAATTTTTTTAATACTTTTTTTGGAGTTGGATATTTTTTTACAAATATATAACGATGTTTCCTATTGTATATTAAAAAAAAACACGCATATTTCCTTTGCTATTATATTACGATATAATTAATGAAAATGTATTGGAAGTGATCAGATTTCCTATCAGAAAGAAGCAGAGCTTCGACTTATTAATTATATTAATTTCAACAACATTAAATTAGTTACATGTTTACTTTTTGGAGTCATTGCCAGAGTTCACCTCGTGTGAACACACAGAATTGCTAACGTTTTTTTTATTAAATTTAGCAATTTAGTCCTGAGAGGTTTCTATTCTCTTTAAATAGACCCTATAAATTATTGTCAAGTAAGTAATACTGTAAACTTGTTTTCTTTAGTTTCGAAACCTTACCTATTAGGTAATTACCTATATCATAGATAATAGATATATTTCTAAAAAAATCTTAAGGTTAGGCCACTTTTGCACTAGCAGCCTAAAAGTAATAGAACTGAGTCACTTGTAGAATTCATGGATACTTATAAAAAAAAGTGTGTCTATGCAATTCACTCACGGTAGAAGTGAAACTTCAGAAATGTAACCTACGAGAGAATGAGATGAATAGAGTATCAGGTGTAGAATAATTATAAGGTTTTTGTTTTTTACCAAGTTTAAAAGTTATTTTACATTTTATTTAACATATTATATTACAAAACATATTATTCAGTATAATTTTTCATTTCCTGTGTAATATATTCTATCTCATTCTTTCGCCGGCTTAATCCTATATATTTATGTGTTTGTCTCTTTCTCGTGTCGCATTTTCAAAAAATTTTGCATTCAAAAAAAGTTTCACTTCAAAAATTCAATTCAAATCACCACCATCATTTTTAGTCCTAACTTTAGAGTCCTTTTGAATTTAAACACCGTTAAAACGGTGTTAGTTGTATCAGAGGTTGAACGTGTCGAGACGCAATTTGCCTTCATTTTCAGTGAGGAACAGTAAATCTGCCATAGTTTGTTCGCATATCGCTTCTTCTGCTTTTTCTGACATCTGGGGAAATATGTGCAAAAAATGAAATATTAGCATTTAAATAAAACAGAGACACGAGTCTCTCCCGTAACCATGATTGATGTAAAACATTCGAAACGTCGGGAGCCAAAAATCAAAATAAATCTGCGATAACATCCGAAAAGATACAAGTAAGCAGATGAGTGTTGGATGACATTACGTCGGATCTTAGACTAATCTATACTAATATTATAAAGAGGAAAGATTTTTTGTTTGTTTGTTTGTACCGAATAAGCTCCAAAACTACTGAACCGATTTAGATAAAATTTGGTAAGAAGAAAGTTTGACACCCTGGGAAGCACATAGCATAGTTTTTATCCCGGAAATCATACCTTAAGGGGGTGAACATGGGGATTAAAATTTGTATTTGGAAGCAACCTAAATACATAATAAATAAGTATAATAAATAAGTAAAAACATACCGGTCTATAGTTATACTCGGTTGTGGGTGGATACTTGAAGTTTGGCCCAAAATTCACACTGACTGTGACATTCTTGTGCAAGGAAACAGTTGGATAATAACATCCTTGGTATACATTGAAGAACGCTTCACCTTGACATTCGCCATTTTTGAAATAGAAAATCTTACTGCCGGGCAGGGGTTTGAGATTATTTAGAGATTCTTGTATGTTATCTTTGTCTTCGTAGTAAAGGTGACTCTTGAATTTGACTAGAGGCTGTAAATCATTTAAACATATTATTAGTACATTAACTTTTTTGTTATCTGTGTATATATGGCTTTATATAAGATATACGGTATAAATAATATATATTACTAATTAGAATGGATTCAGTCTATTGTTAATTAAAAAACATGAATAAAGTTACGAATCATAAACAAAATAAAGATTTTGTTTCTCATCATACATTTTCCCCGTCCATGTACTAGAAATGGATTAGAAATTAAATTTCATATAATCAACAGCATGTTACACACTTAGAAAATATTCTAATGGATACGAAAATATGAGGTTAAAATCGATTTCCAACATTTAATAACCTACTTAACAACAGACTAATATACTTGTACTAAAACTATTTCAATAAAATGAAATTAAACGTTATTCATTAGAGACTTATACAAGCACTTTTGAATCGTCAACTTAATTTAAAGAGCGTCAGTGTAGTCCGTCCGTGAGGAAGCTACCACCGGCTCGGAAAGCAGTTCTGCTGAGAAGAGCTGACGAGAAACTCAACAGTTGCTCTTTTAAATATCATAGAATTAAATTAATTTATTTTATTAACATAACATTATAGCTAGCCCGCATACGACTATAACTAGCACTACCGCGGCTTCGTCCGCGTTCAAACTTCCGATTGCTACCAAACTTCGCTCCAGCCGTTTTGGAGTTCATAGAGAAAGTATATACACACATCGATTTTTATATATATAAACATATATAGATACATTTCTATAGACAAAAAAATCTTGAACATAGTAACAAGTAACGTTTAACACTCACTCTATCTTTGTAAGTATTAGGCGTGTATTTGGTAGAGACACTATCGGGCATTATTATAAGGAAGCCCAATGTATCGCCCTCACCGTAACCCGCGCTGTAATGTTTGCCGCGAGACTCGTGAAACCTGCGAAAATATAAACTTGTTAATCGAGGATAAAGACCACATCTAAAATAATTATTTATTGCATGCTTGAATGTATGTATGTTTATACTAAAAACAAAAACAAATCTATCCCACGGGAACCGTACATTTTTCCGGGATAAAAGGTCTATGTGGTATTCCAAACTATAATCTATCTCTGTGCCAAAGTTAAACCGTTCTGGTATGATTGAGTAACAAACATCCAAATATCCATCTAAACTTTCATAATTATAATATTAGGAAGATTGATCTTTGTAGTCTGTACCACCACCGCGACTCATTACTTTTTTTAAGCTCGAGCGTTTCTGGTAGATATCTCTTAAAGAGCAAAGTCCTTTGTACACAACATATTTATCTGGTTTTTTTTTGTGTTTTTTTTTTTATTTTGTGGTACATAAATAAATAAATAGCTACCTATAATATAATTAAAAATATAAAATTGCAATATAGGAATGTGCAAAACTTAGTTTGGTTGTTTTATTTTTACGCCAATGATAATTTAATCCTACTTTTCTGATAACAGTGTGGGGTTGCTCCCTCGGTCCACTCTGCTATCAAATAGGTTATTAAAACTAGCCATAAATCCCACGGGACAATGACATAGTTAACAATACAATTAGCATGCCTAAAAGTCATAATCATAGAACTCAAACACTTACCTAGTCCCTTTCCGGCTGCGCCAGGAATAACCAAACTTATCATATCCCAACGGCGCTTGCAAGTTGGCATACCGCCGTCCCCATCCAAGGCGAGTGGCTGCACCTTCGGGCATCTCTTCAACAGTCGCTTCCCAATACCAAATCCCCCGGGACACGCCTAAGACAAAATATATTCTAATATAATAATAATTTAACGACTGTATGGCTTTATTAGCACAGCATGTCCCGTCAGTTCGATTCCCAAAATTCGCAATTTTTAATGTATTATATACCCTGTGCTGAAAAAATAATAAAATCATGAACTTATTTTTCTTATTATCTCTATTTCGTCGAAACCCTTTAAGATAAAAAAAGGATGTTTCACTTTCTATTTATTCTTATAATAGTAAATGACCAGTTTTTGTATATTATACAAATTTATTTCATGTATCTCGGTAACGGCTCTAATGATTTGGATCAAATATTATATTTATTTATTTCTACATATATATGTTCCTTTGGGGCCATTCAAGTATTACGTAAGCACCAAAAATCTTTATTTGCTTATTTTTGGATATTAAGAATGTTTCTGGATGGTGATTACGTCAGCAATATTTATTTATTAAGAATAATTAATTTATTTAAATATACTAAACATTTTGATCTCTCAAATCAATGTTTTCAGAACACACATGACAACCCTCTTGTCTATGCTCAAAAGCGAAAAGTATGTTCAGGGATTCGTCAGAATAATTGAGTCGTAATGTTAACGTCAGTAAGAGCATTACTTACTTTTGCTGACAAGAAGGAGGAAGGGGTTAATAATTACTAAAATTCTGCTTACGTAATACCTACTTGAATGGCCTCTTTTCTGAAAAAAAAACGCAATTTTTCTATCTTTCTCGAATAAACGCCAATCGAAGCTTGGTTGCCAAGGTAATAGACCGAACAAGGTTTTAAGGTGAAAAAATTTGAAAAGTTGCAATGAGAATTGAAATTCGGTATAAACTGAAAGTATTTATTTTTGAAGACAAAACAACGTCTCTCGGTTATGCTAATATTAAATAAACAACTCACCATGGGTAGCCCGAACCATACAATAGCCCTTTTCCCCAGTGACAGCTAAGCGATCCTCAGCTATTTTCAACTGTGGCGCTCGATCGTGCAGAGCTAAGAGAACTATCCCCGGACACAAAGACCGATAGAGCCATCCCGGGATTGGTTTCCCGCTCCATTCGTTGCTTTCGTCAAACTCCTATAAGTAATAAAGATAACCACTGTAGATATAGAATTTAAAATAAATGTCCGGGACAATGTTGCATGGAATAATATGTGTTTGATATGCAATCATAATTACTTACAATTAATATTTAAATGCTGTTATTAATTGAATGTACTTAGCTTTACAAGTTTGCATAATAAATAAAGATATTTTAAATATCACTAGCAAATAAAGCATAATAATGCATATTGATCCGCTATGATATATGTTCCGCTACCACCTGAGTCAAGTCAATGATGTACTTATTAATAATAAAAATAATTAAGAAATCGACTTAAAAATGTCGAATAACCACGTTAATGTCACAAAAAAAAATTGCACTCAAAAATAAACTTCCTTTTTTGAAATTGAGCAATAAAATATAATTTCAACGAGTAAGTAAACTTGCCTGTCTAAACGGAGCATGGGGATCCGGTTCCGCCAGGATATACCTATAACCATCCTTGTTAAAGGGATGTTCCGTGGGATAGCCATGGGAGGGGAGTTTCAAAGCCCCTAAATCAGCTGATCGACCTTTTTTGCCCACGGGTGCGCTAGCTTCTAATCCCACGGCTGGGCGACGTTTCCCTTGTCGCCCTTTAACGTTACCTCCAAGTTGTACTGCAATAAACAATTTAAATAACTTATTTACATTTGTTTTGATCCTTTTAAATATAAATCGAAAAAAAGAAGGAAAAAAAAAATACTAATTAACTATTGTTATAATACATCAGTATTATAACAATCAGATGCCTTTTTCGAAGAGACGTAAACATCTGATCCCTAATAAATGTAAGTTTTGGTGATGATAATAACATAGGTACTTAAATCTATTATAAAAAACTTATTACATACACATGTACAAACTAATACAAAATTTTGATCATCTAAACACACTCAAACAAAAACTAAAATTAGATTTCTAGTCACTAAACATTTTACGGTCTACGCCACAAATGTACACGCGCTAAATCCTATTTCCAATTTTTTTTATTGAAAACGACAAAGAGAGAAGAAAAATGTACCGAACTGTTTTGTCTTTGCATGTTAAACTCAATGAAAACAAGATAAATCTATACATATAATAAAATTGTAACAAAGCCGATTCTGTACAATAAATATTTTTTGGAAAATCTTATTGAAATAAACATTATTATCGATACAGAGACCGAGTCTATAGTTTTTAGAATTTTTGATCTGTGTGTCTGCCTGTCTCGCTGTAAAAAGTATCCTATATGTTGACCCGGATAACCAGCTATCACCATACCAAATTTCATCAAAATCCGTCGAGTGGTTTTTTCCTGTGATGCGGTAACAGACAGACAGACAAATATTCTAAAAACTATAGATTCGGCTCTGTATCGAAAATGTTTATTGCAATAAGATTTTCCTAAAAATATTTAATGTACAGATTCGGCTTAGTTACAATTTTATTATATGTATAGATTACAATTACGATTATACTAATGGCCTCAGAGCCTGTGAACGCCAGACCTTCGACATTTTATAAAAGCTGAAAGTTTGTCAGCGCATGCTCCCAACACAGATAAGAACGATGGACCATTATGAAGTTCAGGCTATGGTGGCTTTGGCAGGTACACGGTACTAAAGGTGTGTAAAATTCTGATCTAAATTCGTCAAATAATAGAGTGGGAGCATGCGCTGACAAACTTTCAGCCTTTATAAAATGACGAAGGTCTGGCGTTCACGGGCTCTTCCTCTATAAGTTTAAAAAGTGCATTGAAACATACATACCTGGAGCTAAATTAGATCTTAAAGGTATATTAGAATAGTTATACATTTTCCCTGGCTCTCGCAACTTTAATAAAGCATAGGTATAATACCTAATATGTAGTAAATAATAATTTACACAAACTATTTTTAATTGCTAACCTAACTTAAAAGAAGGAAAATAAAATAAAGAAGGATCTAGATGACGTCTAATTAACAATTCTGACACTTTTCCTGTTTACTTTATGAAAATGCAAAAAAAGGTCGTATATTTTTATCTTCATAAAACTATACTATCTATACAGATAAATAAAATTGAAGTGTCTGTTTCTAATAACAAAATAACAGCTTTTTACTAAACGCATATGAAATTATATACTTATGAGAGAAACACAACTTTTAAATTTTTTGTCAGTCTGTTTGTTTGTTCCGGCTAATCTCCGAAACTGCTGGACTTTGACAGACTTTCTCTGGCAGACAGCTATTGTTATAAAGAGTAACTTAGGCTATTTTTATTTTACAAAAAGAATTAGGATTCCGTTCAAAAATTAAAATGTACCTAGAGAGTAGGAACGCACCCAAGCGAAGCAAAGGTAAATCGCTAGAAAGTATCACTTACATTTTTTGTTGATAATTTTTAGTTTTTGAGAATAAACAATAATATAATAAAAATAATTTAGATTAATATAAAATAAAATGCAAGAAATATCAGAAATCAATATCATCTTTTGAACATATAAAAAGAGATCCGGAACGACTGTCACATGTTTTTAACACGATTGTTTGGTCAGAATTAAAAATATTACTTACTAACTTTCATATGATATACGATTGAGTAATTTCGATAATACATTCCAAAGTTCATATTGTACGCGATCTTGTATATAAGGTGAAGATCGAGTTCAGTGACCGTGTACTTAATAGGAACACACGTGGACAGTAGGCTTAGTAATAGGGTTCCTTATGGTCTACAAACCTTTTAGGCATGGAACCCTACCAACTGGCCTAATTCGAGTCTTAGGTTAATTAGGTCTTATTTTAGTAAATACAAGTATTAATTATAAATAACTAAATGCATTATTGTGTGATTGTGTCCATGAAGTTGGAATAACATAGTAATAAAACTTTATGAATCTATTTTAAATTCTCGTTTTTCTACATTTAAGAGGATTGTGAACCTGTAAATTTTCATACAAAAAGCGATAACGTTTTTCCCCCCTTAAACATAGTCTAATTTTCATAATTTTTGGAAATGTTGTAGATATAATCAAAATCTAGGTCCGTACGTTTTTATTTTTTTGAAATATTGCGTACGACAGAAGTTATTAGCATCTAAATATCTATATTTTTGACCTAAAAACTTCCTCCGGCGTTTTTATTTGTTTAAATTAAACTAAACTGAATTACAAAAAAAGGAAAACGTACAGACCTAGATTAAGGTGTACTGAATCTAATGAGACCAAAATCGTCTCATTTCGTTAATGTTTAGGGGGGTGAAAACGTTATCGCCCGAAACAATATTTCAAAAAGGAAATGTAGGTAATTGAGTCTAAGACTTGCAACTCTCTCTATCGCACCATACGGGTCGGGGGCAGGGGCATATTTTAGACTGTAGTGATGTTGAAGGTGCTATCGATATTATTATCTCCTAGGGAGGAGAAGGTAATATCGATATATCGATCGATACTGAAAGGATTCAATCCAAAGTTTAGAATTTTATTATACTCGTATGTATAGATTGTAACTAAGCCGTATCTGTACATTAAATATTTTTTGGAAAATATTATTGAAATAAACATTATTATCGATACAGAGGCCGAATCTATAGTTTTTTGAATTTTTCTGATTTTTTCTGAATTTGTCTGTCTGTCTGTCTGTTACCACGTCACAGAAAAACCACTGGAGGGATTTTGATGAAATTTGGTATGGTGGTAGCTGGTTATCCGGATCAACATATTATAGCATTACCGCGGGAAAATATCTCATTTCTGAGAAAAAATACAAAACTGAAAATATATATATATATATATATATATATATATATATATATATATATATATATATATATATATACAGGGTCATTTTTAATTTACTGAAGACCTTTTGGGAATATACTATTTACATCATAACAACAACCTCTGTAACAAGAAAAAAAAAATTTCTTAAATTTTCATTTTCATACAAAAATAAAAATATTTTCTATATCATCATCATCATTATATCTGGCCAAGTTTGAATGAGTAAGGACCACTTCCTACACCCCTCCACCCCTCGCCCACCACCGGTCACGCGCTTTCTTTTGCTAATTGCTGGACTATTACCGTTTAGAAGGAGCAATAAAAATACTTTTATTTTTGTAAAATTTATATTTTTAATTTTATATTCGTTATAATTTTATGAAAATTATTACGAATAGTATGTGTATAATTATATATATATATATTATATATATATATATATATATATATATATATATATATATATATATATATATATATATATATATTATATATATAATGCATATATATATATACACATACTATTCGTTATAATTTTTTCGAAATTATCGATATTTTATTAGTTTTTGGAGTTAATTTTATTGATTTTTCTGAAAAAAATGATTTTAGGGCAATTACAGAAAGAAATGAAAATCATTCGTAATCTAATCTTGTTTATTCATTAGTTAAAAATATATTTAAAAAAATTAAGTTGATATATTTTATAAAATTTAGTCATAGATATGTTAAAAAATCTAAAAAATCGTAAATCATCATCATTCATGATCAGGTCATTTTATGAATTTCTATTCCTTATATACCTGCTAACATTATAAAATCATAAAACTTCAGGTTTTCAATAAAATAATTATTTTAACAATAAAAGGATTCCGATGGGTCTATTAGTACCTACATAAACAACAAAATATTCTATAACTTTCAACTTTTGGAACGAGATTTTTGTAATTGATCTAAACGACCTATTTATTTTTTTATGATTTTTTGAAGTCATCAATCTAAACAAGTCAAATTTTAAATGATATTCGCCACAGAATTGTAATTTAGAGTTATTTCAGTTTATGAATAAAGGTGCGATGTAACTTGTAGGGAATGTATAATGTACGCAAACCGTTAAAATAATAAATATTAGATAAACTTTGAAATTGCTCTTGCGCCGAGTCGCGCCGCCCCCGCCCCCGCCCCCCGCAAGCGCCCGCGCGTCACCGGCTGCTGCTATCATAGTGTGTGTGAGAATTTGCGTATGTTGTATTTGTGTTGTTCACTGCCGGGGGGATGCAAAGCGGTATGAAACAGATAGCATTTTTAAAAATACCTACTCTCGCCGCGTATCGGCACTTCACAATCCTCTTAATTAACAATTAAAAATTGTTAAAAAAGAGAATAAAAAATCTTTTCAAGTGATAAAATTTAAAATCGATCTATTGAGCAGTATAATTTATTTTACATATATGCATAAATTTTTAGATTATATAGGTAAATGTATGTGTCATCAACATTGTTATTTTTAGTAATATTTAGTTACTCATATTGTTATTTAACGATAATTAAGATATTGTATTGACTACACGCACATACCTAATCATAGATGGCAGTGCTTGTGAATGCATAAATAGGGGGTATATGCTGTCAAGAGCACAGTCTCTCACTGAACGCCAAAGAGACAAGTGTCAACTCAAAGTGGAAGTGTTGTATAGTGATTATTTAATAAAACAGTGTATTTGTGCAGTGGAGGTGTAGTGCTTAAGTGTTGTGTAGTGCATAAGCGTTGTTTCGCAACCTGTGAAGTGTCAGTGTAAAAAGTGAGACAAAACGAAAGAATAGTTGTGAGTATTATGTTAATATATATATAAAAGTGAGTATATTTATAGTTTTATTTACATCCTTAATTTTAACACCGATGAGTAAATAGGGCCTAATCCTGCAGTTTCAGAAGTGGGATCACAAAATTAATAATATGTAGTTTATTATTATTATTATTACTCTTTTTATTTTTTTTATTATCATATTTTTTTTTTTTTTTTGTGAAGGTATATATTTTATAGCCTTAATATACATATACATTATTTAATTTGATTATCTTATTTTTTTTGTGTTTTATATGGGACGTAAGTATTTTAACTAATTACTATTTATTTATTCGTTTTTTTTCTATTTTCATTATTTATTTTAATGTTTATTATTTATTTTCAATTGTTCATATTATATTTGCCTTGATAATTTTCTCTACTTCTGTATTGTTGTGTTACTGTACTTTTTCCTCTTTTCCCCTACCTTTTCCAATTTTTTTTTTTCTCCCACCCTCCTACTTATCTCATAAAATAATAATAATAATAATGTATATGGGTTAATACAAGAGTTTAGTCTTATGATACTACATAATGTGAGCACTACACTATGCGAGTAATAATCTTGGGCTTTTCAGTGGACATTCAAGAAAGTTCTCGTTCATCGTGCCATATGGATAGGTTGGCACAGCGCTCTCGGAGCCCAGTAGAGTTCATGAGGTCGAGTGCAGCTCGCAGCCCGATTCTCAATCGGCCATGCCCACGAGGGGTAAGGTCACGCCAGTTACGTAGCCCTGACGGGCTCCCTTCTGGTAGTCAACAACTAGAGCGATCACGTGGAAGGCCGTCGAGTCGGTCTCGCAGCAGATCGTCGAGCCGACTCCATATCAGACAGCCAAGCCGGCGTCGCACCGGACAATGCAGCGAATCTCGAAGCAGGCATCTTTACCATCTCCGTGTCCCCAGCCATCGACAAGGTCGGTCACGTAGCCATCAACGAGAACGATTACGCAGTCGGGAACGAAGTCGTTCTCGCAGTACGCCACGCAGTCGGGAGTCAAGAAGAAGCGTTCGCACCCAGAATTATCCTAGTTGCCATCGTGGAAGACTATTGGACAATGGTGAGTCAACTCAGTTCGCTAATAGTGGGTTACAGCAATTACTCGATGCACTTAAATATGCTAGTCTTACGGATAACAATTTAGATAAGTTAGTAAATATGAATAATACCATTCCCGAATTCGATCCCTCGAGGAAAGAACAGACTATGACAATGTGGTTACATAAGGTTAATGAATGCTCAACTATTTATGGATGGACTGAAAAACAAATAGTTCATTTTGCTTTACCAAAATTACGTGGAATTGCCCAGCGTTGGTATGAAGGCTTACCTTCTGTTCTTTTCTCATGGGATGAATGGCAAACTAAATTGTTGTCGGCATTTCCGTCCACAGAAAATTATGGGCAAATGCTTAGTGATATGCTAGCCAAGCGCGCCCGATTCGGAGATTCACTGGAAACTTATTATTATGATAAAATTGCTTTATTGAATCGATGTGGCATAACAGGTAGTCGAGCTGTAGAATGTATTCTTCATGGCATAGACGATCGGTCAATTAGATTGGGTGCAGAGGCGGTTCAATATGATAATCCTGATAAACTACTTGCGTATCTTAGTAATACCAGGAACAGTCGCACGAATGAGCGTAAAATTCCGAGGAATCAATTCATGAATAGAACTCAGGAGTCTTCATTGAAACAAATGAGCAAGGGACCACGCTGTTTTAATTGTAAGCAAGAAGGGCATACAGTACCACAATGTCCACAACCGGTTAAGAAATGTGGTAAGTGTCAGAAAGTAGGTCATGACGCAGAGCAGTGTTATTCTAAAGGACCATTGACAACGGATAAGAATGTTCTGCGCGTGACTAATGATAAACAACTTGGAGAAAAATATTTAAAAACGATTGAAGTCAACGGGATTCCTTACAAAGCGTTTCTGGATTTTGGAAGCGATTGTTGCATGATAAGGATATCGGATTTTATTAAATCTCATAACCAATACGAAACTGATGCTCTCCCGACTTTAAAAGGTTTCGGTAATTCCATTGTTAATGTTTTGGGTAGACAGTTGGTAACGATTAAAATTGATGAAGTAGAAGCTGATGTAGAACTATTTGTGGTACCAGATGAAGCTATGCATGTACCAGTTATGATTGGCCAAACATTTACAGAGCAACCTCATATTGTAGTCCATAAAACAAGCGATAAACTTGAACTTCTTTCGGCATTTAATTATTCCAGTAAGCATTACAAAATTAAATTGTTCTGTAAATGTGAAACTTTAGTTTCAGGTACATCAGTTATTAGTGTCTATACTGAGCCATTAGTTACAGGTGACGTATACATAGAGGGAGGATTAAGATTAATAAAAGATACTGTCTTTTCCGTGTTAGCAGGTCTGTTTTCCATTAATGATAACGGAGAAGGAGAGCTATTGGTTAGTATTGCATCAGGTAAAGAAATCACTATAAACAAGGACTATTTATTAGCCCGAGGATATATGGCAGAAGAATATAAGGATACTGTAGATTCAAAGGTGATAGCGGTTAATAATGTAACTCAAGGTCTATATCAACCGATAAGAATGGAAGAGGTTAAAACCGGACCTAATATTTCTTCTGAGGAGAAGGAGAAACTTCTATTGCTTTTAAACAACTTTAGAAATTGTTTCGCAGCGAGTTTGGCAGAATTAGGTAAGGCTACAGTTGGAGAAATGTCTATAACTCTGCATGATGATGAGCCGGTAGTTTACCGACCATACAGACTGTCCATAAAAGAAAAGGAGGTGGTGAGAGAAATGATAACAGAGCTGCTTGACAATGGGATAATCCAGCCATCCACATCGTCATACGCCAGCCCAGTAGTACTGGTGCGCAAGAAAACTGGCGATTACCGTCTGTGCATAGATTATAGGGCGCTTAATAAAAAAACTGTAAGAGAAAATTATCCTATGCCCCTGATCGATGATCAGATTGATTTATTAGCTGGAAATGAGTTTTACACTACTCTAGACCTTGCTTCGGGGTACTATCAAATACCCATACGAGAAAGTGATAAACACAAAACGGGCTTTGTAACACCAGAGGGACATTTTGAGTTTAACAGAATGCCCTTTGGTCTTGCAAATGCCCCTTCCACATTCCAACGTATAATGAACCAAGTTTTAGGGTCAACTCGTCACAGAGAAGCTCTTGCATACTTGGACGACGTAATAATTCCAGCCAAGGATTTCCAAGAAGGTATAAAGCGCTTGGAAAAAGTTCTGAGCTTGTTCTCTAGTGCTGGGTTGACACTTAAACTTTCTAAGTGTATATTTTTTGGTAATAATGTGGACTATTTAGGATTTCAGGTGTCAAAAGGTGGAATACAACCAGGTTCTAGTAAAGTAGAGGCTGTAGCGAAGTTTCCAGTACCACAAAATCAACACAATGTGCGGCAATTTCTAGGTCTGGCAAGTTTCTTTAGACGGTTCGTACCCGGATTCTCCATAATAGCTAAACCCTTGACACGCCTCCTCGGAAAGGATACATCATGGAATTGGGGGCATGAACAACAGTCCGCTTTTAAGGAGCTTCAAAATAAATTGACACAAAAACCTACTTTAGCTCTATACGATCCAAACGCTGAGACGGAGCTCCACACAGATGCATGCAAGGTAGGTGTAGCTGGCATTTTAATACAATTGAATAAGGAAAGAGTACGCTTGCCTGTTGCATATTTTAGTAGACAAACTAGTCCAGAAGAACAGAATTACTCCTCATACGACCTTGAGACTCTGGCTGTGGTGGCATCCCTTCGGAAATTCAGAGTATACCTTATTGGCATAACTTTCAAAATTGTAACCGATTGCAACTCTTTGCGTGCAACATTTCAAAAACGAGACATGATACCACGAGTAGCTCGATGGTGGGAACAGATGCAAGAGTACACTTTTAATATTGAATATAGAGCAGGTGTCTCTATGGCTCATGTTGACGCCTTGAGTCGTAACCCGGTTCCAAATTCTTCTCCGATCGCTTCCTGTATGGTAAGGAGCGTTACTGAGGAAAGTTGGCTAGCTACCGTCCAGAGTGCTGATTCCGAGATTCAAAGAAAAGTCCAGATACTTAAAGATCCAAATTTAGATGACATAATAGATATAAAAACTAATTTTAAATTAAAGGGTGAAAAATTATTTAGGATTACTCCAGACGGTGACAGATGGGTAGTACCTAAGGGGGTACGTTGGCAAATACTAAAAATCAATCACGATGATATAGGACACTTTTCTATGGATAAGACATTGGAAAAGGTTAAATCCGTGTATTGGTTTCCAAAAATGCGAAGCTTTAAAAAAATACGTCGCTTCCTGTCTTGAATGTTCTTATGCCAAAGCAACTGGAGGTAAGAAGCCTGGTTATCTTCATCCTATTGAGAAGATTGACATTCCATTTGATACCATTCATGTAGATCATGTCGGCCCATTTGTGCGCTCCAGTAGAGGCAACATGCATATTCTAGTAATAATCGATGCTTACACAAAGTATATTTATTTAAAGCCGGTGAGAAATACTAAATCTAATAGTACCATTAGAGTACTCAAGGAATATTTCGGAATTTTCGGCGTACCACGAAGAATCATTTCAGATAGAGGAACTTCTTTTTCTAGTAGTTTATTTAAGAAATTTGTCAACGCGAAAGATGTTAAGCACGTGATGAATGCTGTGGCCACCCCAAGGGCAAATGGGCAAGTGGAGCGTTACAATAAAGTTATTGTTGACGCATTGACAGCCAAGTCAGTTGGTACATCTGAAAATAAATGGGATGACCACTTGCCGGATATTCAGTGGGGTCTGAATAATACTTTCAATAAGGGCATAAATCGAACTCCCGCAGAAGCTCTATTTGGGGTAAGACCTACGGGATCCACTGAAAGTAAATAATACACGATTTGGACAAGAACAGAGCTAATATAAGGGATGAAATTAACACTCATATTGAAGCATGCCAACAAAATCAAAAGGAATCATTCGATAAGCACCGTTGTATCCCTCCGAAATATAATGTAGGGGATTTGGTAAGAGTGGAACGCCAAGTACCTGCAACAGGACAGAGCAAAAAACTTGTGCCTAAGTTTCAGGGACCTTATAGAATCGCATCTATTTTAGACCATGATCGCTTTGCCATAGAAGACACGCCATTGACTTCAAAGAGAGGAAGAAGCTTCTCGACTATCGTAGCTATTGATAAAATCAAACCATGGCTTAATTTCAATAGACCACACGTGAGTGGGACATACTCCAGTGAATCTGACGATGAGGAATCTCGTGAGTAATGAAACTAAGAATGTTTTATCTATGTATTTTATTTAAATTTTGGCTGAATATACAATTACGAAATATAGTTAATAAATAATATAATTAAATATAATGATTAAATTGATTAAATATAATAAATACTCTTCCGTTGTTAAGATAATTGATTTAGTTATGTAGTAATGAACTTGTGTGAAATTAGTATCATTATACATACAACCTTTCTATCTTTATAGGTTATTTAACTTAAAATATAATTTTGTGATTTTATATAATATATTATTGGTCAAAATGCGTTGTTATAATTTTTGCATAAATTGCAGTTTATTGAAATGTTTACTGTCGGAGAGCATTTTTTTTCGAGTATTCAGGATTACAAGGGGCCTGTTACTTGGTATTCAGGACGTAAGGGGCCTGTTTGCCATGTATTCAGGACTACAAGGGGTCTGTTACTTGGTATTCAGGACATAAGGGGCCTGTTGCCTTGTATTCAGGACTAAAAGGGGCCTGTTACTTGGTATTCAGGACGTAAGGGGCCTGTTGCCATGTATTCAGGACAAAAAGGGGCCTGTTACTTGGTATTCAGGACGTAAGGGGCCTGTTGCCATGTATTCAGGACTAAAAGGGGCCTGTTACTTGGTATTCAGGACGTAAGGGGCCTGTTGCCTTGTATTCAGGACAGAATTGTTTAAAATGTAGTAATTAATCAAGTTTACTTATGAATGTTTTTTTTATGTTTTTCTTGTATTTTGTCTTTGATTCTTACAATGAGTTATTTTGTTTAAATCTCGTATGAGGTCATACGATTCTATTCGGATGGCCGACTGTCATCAACATTGTTATTTTTAGTAATATTTAGTTACTCATATTGTTATTTAACGATAATTAAGATATTGTATTGACTACACGCACATACCTAATCATAGATGGCAGTGCTTGTGAATGCATAAATAGGGGGTATATGCTGTCAAGAGCACAGTCTCTCACTGAACGCCAAAGAGACAAGTGTCAACTCAAAGTGGAAGTGTTGTATAGTGATTATTTAATAAAACAGTGTATTTGTGCAGTGGAGGTGTAGTGCTTAAGTGTTGTGTAGTGCATAAGCGTTGTTTCGCAACCTGTGAAGTGTCAGTGTAAAAAGTGAGACAAAACGAAAGAATAGTTGTGAGTATTATGTTAATATATATATAAAAGTGAGTATATTTATAGTTTTATTTACATCCTTAATTTTAACACCGATGAGTAAATAGGGCCTAATCCTGCATATGTATGAGTATGTGAATTATAAACTTATTTCGGTCCACCAAGCCCTTATCTCCTTAGAGTATACTGAGCTAATACCTAAGCCTTATCCCACATTCACAAACGTCATATTTTAATCTATACTAATACTAGCATTTTTCTTCGGCTCCGCCCGCATAGTACATTAATCACCAACTTATTATATACTAAAACCTTCTCCGAAACACGCTGCATCTTATGATATGAGTATTATTCCGATCGGTTCAGTAGTTATCGCATCGTATAACCGAACAAAAAAATCGGCTCTCCATATATTAGTATAGATTATAAAGAGGCAAAGTTTGTTTGTTTAATATACTGTCGTCCCTTCAACTAAGACGAATTTACCGACATCTTGTACGTTAAATTAAAATACATCAAACCTAACCGATTACAGTGTCCCAAAGCAACAGACATATCCTAAAATCATGACCAGGGCAACCATTTAAAGCCATACTAAAGACAGCAGCGTTATTATGGCAATTATCTTGAAAAGATAGTGATTGTAAGTATATTGAATGGAATTTATTTTATTTTAAGCATTTTGCGTCTGATATTAAGACACTTGCCAACACATTAGCCTATTATGTAACATACTCGGGAAGCAATCGATTTTTTTATCATAATATGTCAATACGAAAAAAGGAAAACTGAGAAAAATACTACAAGTTTAAATTAAATAATTTCTGTGCTATCTATCTATAATATTAACTTCGTTACAATTTTATTCATGAAGTAAAATTAGATTACAGCGAATTCAACTTAAGTGGTTTTATAAAAGAAACCTTAATAAACGTAGATACGAATATTAATGAACCTAAAGTCTTGTAGGTAACTAATTAAAATATGTATGTATATAATTCGTAATCCATACAGATAAATAAAATTGAAGTGTCTGTCTGTAATGTCAAAATAACAGCTTTTTACTAAATGTATACGGTATTATAAAAAAAACACAATTTTTAAATTTTTTATCTGTCTGTCTGTTTATTCTGGCTAATCTCTGATAATTAAAAATGAAATAGCTGATCTTATATGAAGTAACTTCTTTTTATTTTAAAACAAGAATAAGGGTTCCGCTCAAAAAATTAAAACGTACTTAGTTAAATATAAAACAAGGTAAATCCTGCGGCATCACTTATATGTTTTATTCTTCATATCCCTAAACCAATATTCCCGACTCTTAGATAATTTGTATGTGATTGCATAGAGAGGGGAACGCTCTATCTTTAGGTATTCCCGATCAATAGAAATGGTACTTGGCTATTTTTGATATCAGATCGCTATCTAGTTCTTACTAATATTATAAAATCGTGTAAACGATATTTTTTTCAAATAGATAAATTGAAAGGGCCGATTGGTGACATTGGCTCCTTTCTATATCTATACTAATATTATAAAGAGGCAGTTTGTTTCTTCGTTCGTTTGTTTGTTTGAACGCGATAATCTCAGGAACTACTAATCCAATTTGAAAACTTCTTTTTGCATTAGATAGCCAGTTTATTGAGCAAGGCTATATAGACTGTAGATCATCATCCTACTACCCTTGAGCGGTGCGGTAATATACCTAATATATAGTCTATCTATCCCATACTAACCGTTAAAACGTATATTTGCTTACATACAGACAAAAATCCAAAAATTATAAGTATTGTCATGTCTTCCGTTTAAATATTTTTACATTCTATAGATAAGAAAAGATTTGTAGGTTAAATCGTATTTTTGATCATCTAGTCAGAGATGTTTATTAGTACTAAAAGTAGTAATTATTCTTATAATATAAAGTACTAGCAGAACCCGCGGCTACGCTCACGTTAAAACTACAACAAAGCTCTAAACAGGTAGGTTTCATACAAACTTTCATCCCCTGCTTTACACACACTGCTTTACACACTGCTAACACGTATTTATTTAATTACTAGCGGCTCACCCTCGCTTCGCTCGGGTTCGCCTCTAGAAAAACACTAATAGAAATCTATTAGTTCCCACGGGAACCGTTCATTTTTCCCGGATGAAAAGTAACCTGTTGTTTGACCGGCAATATAAGGTATCATAATGTTAAATTTTACTAAATTAGGTGCATAAGTTGTATAAGTTATAATAGTTTTTTAACTATCCCACGGGAACCATTTAATTTTCCGGGATAAAAAAATATCTAAGACGTTGTCCGGGGATATAAGGTACCACCATGCAAAGTTTCATTTAAATCGGTCCAATAGATTCGGAGATTAGCCCGTACAAACAAACAGAGAAACAAAAAAATTGAAAAAAATCTGGATTTGTTCTATTTGTCTTTTTACATCCCCCTGACTCGCGATGGCTTATTATTAGCATATTTCATGTATAACTTTGGTGTTTCTATACCGATTTCTGTGATTCTTTTTCATGGAATAGTTTATAATGTTAACTTTTTTAATTAGGGATGATTGAGAGTGTTATAAACGTAATGGTAGGGGAGCCCAAGAGGGGATTTTTGTAGTTACTCAAGCGCGGCAGATTAACATAAAAGAGGTTACCTTGCACTCTATTGAGTACTTTCACCATAATATAAGTCTTCTATATAAAGGGGCGCGTCTAGGGAAGCCGATTAAAATATTTAAAAAATGTTTTGATAAAGTAGAAATACTTGAAACCGTCAGATTAAGGTGTATTTCTACCTTATCAAAACATTTTTTAAATATTTTAATCGGCTTCCCTAGACGCGCCCCTTTATATAGAAGACTTATATTGTGGTGAAAGTACTCAATAGAGTGCAAGGTAACCTCTTTTATGTTAATCTGCCGCGCTTGAGTAACTACAGAAAATCCCCTCTTGGGCTCCCCTACTATAAGAGTAGACAAATATAAATCAGAAAGCTTCGAACTGCTAAGCTATCGGGAGTTACACGTGTTATTGTGAGTCAACCATAAAAGATAGACATATGCTGTCGTGGGATATTTTTTATATAATTTTAAGGAGAACATTTCCGTCATACATGATTTCTGTGTAGCTTTAACCATTAAGGTTGCACACGCGACGAGAGCTAAAAAATGGAGTAACTTCTCCCGTTTTCCCAACATTTCCCTTCACTGCTCTGCTCCTATTGATTGTAGCGTGATGAAAAGTATACCTTAACCAGCTCAGGAGTACGATAAATAATTGTACCAAGTTTCGTTAAAATCCGTCGAGTAGTTTTTGTTTCTATAACGGTTATACAGACAGACAGACAAAAATTTTACTAATTGCATTTTTGGCATCAGTATCGATCCCTAATCACTCCCTGATAGTTATTTTGGAAATATATTTCATGTACAGAATTGACCTCTCTACAGATTTATTATAAGTATATAGAAATTGAAGAGGATTAATATTAATACCAAGTTTCAAGTAATTTTGATCACAAATATTTTTTTGGGTTATATTATAAAGTATTTTCCCGTGGAAATGAGATGATATCCCGCGATAAAAAATAGCTTATGTCACTCTCCAGCTCTCCAACTATCTCCACATCAAAAATCACGCCAATCCGTCACACCGTTTCGACGTAAAAAAATTTTTCACCTCAAAAAAACGACACACAAACAAACAAACAAACAAACAAACAAACAAACAAACAAACAAACAAACAAACAAACGGACGGACAAACAGACTTTCATATTTATAATATTATATAAAGTATATTCACGAATATAACAATACAAGTCAAAACTCAAACTTAAGCCTATGGCAAGTATTATGTAAATGATCCTTCAGTTA